CAAAGGCGCTGGTGGTAACGCCGATTAGTGGTGATAATTTTAGAATTATCCCACCCAATTGTATGGTTGGTTAGGCAAGTATGCTCCGATAAAGCTGAATTTTCCTTTTTGCAAAGAAAAACCGCTTTTTGGTGCTCTTTTAACCGTGTACCAAACTGGCGTTTGGTCTGTCCGAAGTATTCGTTATCACAGTCATTGCAAGGAATAGAATAAATGGCGTCGGTTCGTTGTTCTTTCGTGACAGGATCCTTAGGTTTGGCGAAAATATGCCCCAAAGTCTGAAAAGGTTTTTGAGCAACTTTAACGTTGTGGCTATTCAAAATTCTCTTGATGGGTTCAGTAACACCCTGTATGTAAGGAATAACAGCAAAACCAGTCGCTGGTTCCCTTTCATCAAGAGCGTTACTATTTGTAACTGGTTTTTGGCAGTTACGGAGAAAAGTTTTTGTATAGCCATTTGCCTTTAGGACATTGGAAACATATTTCCTCTCCTCAGCCTTCGAATCGAGTGATGATGGTAGACAATCAGCCCTCCTAAGTAAAGTTTTGGCTACAGACTTTTTATGGCAAATAGGATGGTGAGAATCGAAAGCGAGGTATTTGTCGGTGTGGGTGGGTTTACGATAGACACTTGTCTCTAAATTACCCTGAACCCCTCTAGACACATTTAAATCAAGAAAGGGCAAATGTCTATCCTTTTCACGTTCAAGGGTGAATTGGATCGACGGCTCTACTGAATTCAAATGCGACAAGAGGCGCTCCGCTTCATTTCCGGATACCGCAGAAATAACATCATCGACATATCGTTTCCAGAAAAAGGGTTTAACCGGTGAAGTGGCTAAGGCCCTTTGTTCCACGTCTTCCATTACCATGTTAGCAATGACAGCAGAAACAGGCGAACCCATAGCTGTACCAAAAACTTGTTGATAGTATGTGCCGTTATATGTAAATTGCGTGGTTTTGAGGCAAAAAGACAGCAGATGAATAATATCCTCCACAGGCAAAGAAGTTCTTTGTCCTAGGGAAGCATCTTCTCTGAGTCTTTCCTCCGCAACCTTAACGGCAAGATCAACTGGGATTTTAGTGAAGAGCGAAACAACGTCGAAAGATATTAATTCTTCACAAGCGTCAAGAGTTTCATCTCTTATGAAATCCGTAAATTCGCAGGAATTTTTTGACAGTGTAATCAGTATTCCCAACAACAGTCGTGACCGCAACCTGAAGCCGTTCTATCCTAAGTTTCTTATCGGTCGTCACGTCGCCGTCGTCAACGAAAACATCTGTTGCTTAAGGCGCCTAATGATAATAAATAATACTAATGGTAATATTTTTTTCAAAATAAAAATCCTCTATTTACTATAATCAATAAAATTATTTACAAAAATTATGATAAAATCCTTAAAAAATCAAAAAATACATTAGAATGTCTGATAAAAATCTAAGAAAAACTAACGGATGCACGCTTCGTTTACGTTTACTCCTTGAACTTTAAAGAAGAAGGTAATACAAAAAAGTAATAATGGTAATGTGAAGAACTAGTCGGTCAATGCGTCGGTTGAATGACCGGCTGCTTAGTTTCTCAGGTCCTTTAAATTTTGTTTTATTACTGCTCTAGCTGTCATTTTCAATTCCAAGACCTATCAGATTCTCGTAAGAGCCTGGAAATTTGAATGATGTCACTATATTCAAGAAATCTTCTCCCATCATTGCGCTTTTGGTGGAAAGTTCCCGTGTGGCTACCTGGTGCTGTAAAAATCAACTATTAATCAACCCTGGAAAGACCAAGTTCCTTATGGTCGGGACACAACAACTACTGGGCAGGCTTCCTAACGAAATCGCGATCTCGTTCTTGGAGAAAGAGATCATACCTGTCTCCAGTGCCAAGGATCTCGGAATAATACTAGATAACAACTTAACCTATGATCAACACATCCATCACCTAACTTACCTCATCGTGCAAAGAACTTTGAGCACATAACATCTGCGTTACGCGAGATCAAATGGTTACCGGTAAATGAGCATCTCCTCTCCAGAGCATCTCCCTCGTACTTATGTGAGTCTGTCCGAAGACGCAAGTCTATTCACTATCATAACACTAGAAACAGAGAATCCCTAGCCTCTAGATAGAGAGGGGTTTGTCCTTGTAAAGAAATCAAAGTTTCTCAATTTATGTTAATATGATCTTTTCATTTCATCTTTGAATCTCTTTTGACAAAACAAGCCTATATATTGATATTTCATTTGATCAGATTAAAATTTACTCTATTCCAAAATAAACTAAACAGATAGTAGCGTTGCTTCTGAAGACATCTCAAAAGAAGTAGTTTGCAGCAATATTGCGACAAACGATAAACAATTGAATTCCTTTTCTACAAAATTTCGTCTTGGTGACTACCTTTTTACCAAGCGCACTCAGTACAAATTTCATATCATCTCAATTGACGTCTGAATAATATTCTTTATCTGCCCAGCTATTCTCTTATTCCAACTCTTGAGGAAAAGTACGGTTTAAAGTGTTGTGTTCATTACAGAGATTTTCTTCTTGGAGTTCCCTTTCGTCAAAATATGGTTGACAGTGTTTACAAGTGTAAGAAGAATATTGCTGTTGTGTCCACTCACTTTTTTAATAGTAACTATTGTGGCACAGAACTAGATTACGCTCTTCATCGACTTATGGAAAAGAAAGATGACAGCCTCGTAGTAATCAAACTTGACGATGTCCATAATAAGAAACTACCCAGGGAACTCCGAAAAAGGAGTTACATAGACTATCCAAAGTCCACTGATAAAGAAACGTGGGAGAAAAAATTAGTAAAAAGCTTGACGCCCACCAGATTTTTACTAGAGCAATGACCAAATGATAAAAGGGATACTTAGAATGGGGAGGAATTATGGCGTAAAGATGATACCGTCCAAGGTAAAATCATGCTATTAACCACCTAGGAGAACCGTACGAAAGCAACTTGATGGACTTATCATTAAGCAATAGGCTTTATGCATGTTTACGTTGAAATAACCATATTTATAAAAAGCCTCATGCCTTTAGAGGCAAGGACTGGTGACTTTAATTGGATGGTATTCTCTAGACATTGAAATCAGCTTGATTTGAAGGAACGCGCACTTTTAAACGTCTAGAAAGCAGCAAAAATTCATGATAAATTTTAACGCAAAGAGCCGTAGAAGGAATTTTCAGTTTAATACGTCATCGTAAGTGGGATTTATTCTTTATTATTCCCACCCCCCATATCATTTCATACACTTTACTTGCATAGAAATCATTTCTGTTTATTTTATAACGCTTTTCTTAATGTTTTTACATTGGTAGAAATACAAATTGCCGGATTGATAAGTTAAGAGATAGACTTGGATTGCCATTTATACAAGTCAGCAAAATAACGCTGTTAAATTTTATGTCACCCAATGGGAGTTTTTTCTTTTAAACATTGTTCACAGGCGCCAGGCTTACTCTTCCAGATACTTAAAGGAGCACAGATGCAATTTCCCAGTTTGCAAATTTTTTCTCTTTCTCTATTGGCGGTAACATTTTTAATAACATTGCTTAGAAATTGACAATTTATTTGGCAGTCGTCTAGGTCTAAAGAATCGGTGTGATCGTCTACATCTCGCTTTGTGAACGTGTTGGGAATGTCATCTTCCTCAGTGTCGTGCCATGCGACAGGTTCCGCATGGGCAGCTACATCTCGTTTGACTTGTGGCCTACTGTGCGTTGAAGCCGCGAGCAGAAAAACAATCATGGCTTTGAAGACAGCACCCTGGGAAAAACCGGTGAAAGATGAAAGATAAGAAAATGCTCGAGAAACATAATATTTACTTTTTCTTACATCTTTTTAGCTCAGTACAAACCAGTAAGATAATAACGGAAACTAGATTTTTTCTTTTCAAAATAGATTTTCTTATCAAATATCAGTTAACAATTTAATATTGCACTTTCCCAGTGACGCACCACCTTAGTCCTTGAGGAATCGTTATAATTACAATCACTATTTGTGAGCAGAATCTGTGTTTAATACGCTACTGCGTTCTGAAAGCCAGCCTTTTTTTTTAAGAGAGCATGATAGATTTACACATGTCTGAAACATTGTTCATTTTAAATACAGTTTGCGAAGTGCCAACACCCTCACCAGAGGGAGAGCTGCTAGAGCAAAATTTCATCTACAGCGTCATCCTGAGTTCCAATTCCAAGCCTATATACCATATGTGTCCCCGTTCTAGTGCATCATATTCATCCTCATACTCTTTTTAAATCAAACAGTTATCAAATTTATTGTAGAGAAAAGACTGTTATGTCCTCGACGTGGTCGTAAGGGTGTAAGCCTTAATCCGTATTTAATAACCGCCAATCAGTGGGCACAGTGATACCATTTATTGAATACTGTCTTTAGTTTCAAAAAGTCTTCTCGGTTGGAAAAATCCTTCGAAGATCTTTCAAGATAAGTTTCCAAAAATTTATCCTGCTTGGGTTCAGAGAAGGTTCCAGGAGAGAAAATTATGTTTGATTTTCAAAGCTCGTAAGGTGTTATTCCTGATACGTTCTTGAATCCTCTTCTCTTAACTACTTTTTAAGTAGTGCTTCAGTTTTGTGTTATTCTTAACAATAGGGTGGTAGCAGCCACGATGTCTACAATATTCACACAATAAAGGGGCAATGTGTTGCAAGGTTTTTAGATTTGCAAATAATCTTAAGATAGTCAATATACTATTTTTCTCATCTATCCTCCTTTGGGATCAATATCAGTATCTGGGCAACTGTCCACTACCCCTTAAACTTAAAAACTTAATGAAACAGAGATTGATTATTATGTGGGCCTTTCAAGGGTCCTTTTTATAGTTCTATTTATATTAATAAGATATCACTTCACGGTTTAATGCGTCTTAATTTATAATCATCTATGCCACTATTTGTAATTTTGGTACTTATGATATATTCTATATTATATATGCCATAGGGAAACTTGTAATTTGCTTTTGATTTTTTCTCCTTTTTAGTCCAAACAACTCAGTCTACAGGTAAGTTCGAAAATATAAAGCTTTATCCCAAGTTTTAAAAGTCACTTTCATCGAAAAAAAAAACTCCACATTATAAGACAATTATAATCAGCGTTGTTACTACATATAATATTATTATTTATGATATGTTCTTTAAGAGAACTGTTCAAAATACCACCCCAGCTCCGACAGCCAGAGTAATTTCCTTCTGATTTTTTTTCTCTCTTTGTAGTCCACGCAACTCATTCTACAGGTAGGTTTGAAAATTTACAGCCTTAAACAGAGTAAGAATCAAGGAATTTTATTAAAATGTAGAAAGCCGAATGTAAACTGGACAGAAATATGAGAGGGGGATAAGCGGTGGGGCTTAATACATGGAGGACTATTCATAACTTCCCTTGCATTGGTTCAATTTCCACCAATTAGTGTGGAACACTGGGAGTATAGGAATATTGCCCCACCAGGTTGAAAACCTTATGTTAGTTAGCCTGATTCGCACCTGTTGGTTAGGGGCAGTTGGATCTAATTCCCTGTTTTTGTTGTCTGCTATTCTTTATTTGAGATCTTATTTCATGACACCATTACTCTGTTGTGAATCAGGGCCCAAACGTACGTATTCCCTGTAAGATATAGATCGTGGGAAGATATTGTTCACCACAATTTACTATTCTTTTCACTGAGTCGAGGACACCGAAATTTTTTGTCAGCCATGGGTGATTGTGAGGTGCTAGTCGGCAAGTTGTTTTTCTGATATTGTGCAACCTCACCTTAGTCTCTGCGTTATCCTATAAAAAAAAACTTATATTTGGTACAGAGACAACTTTCTTGAAAAACCACAACATACGATCTCAAAGTTTGTCACTGGCAGTTTTGATTGCTACCTGGGAATGGTTAAATTATTTATTTTTCTCTTTTTTATCGCAAAAACAGTATATGCCTCATATGCAGTAAATATACACGATCATACAGCAATTTTTTTTAGAAATATGCCTCATCTCTCTCTTACAGACAGTGATAAGAAAGGTACTGCCATTATTGCAGCTGTCCTCTCTACAATAGTTGCAATTGTTCTGATTGGCTTGATAGTTTTCTATTGTCGTCGTCGCCCTTTACCTCCAACGTTAGGTAAGTATCATTTTCAATAAGAATTAAGGTTAGTGAAGGTGGTTAATTATGTCATTTATTTACGAAACACAATGTTTCCTCTAAATCGGGTCTTTATTTAAAAATTTGTATCTGTGCGACTGATTTCTTGTTATTTCAAAACAGATGAAATGAAGTGGTAATGAACGGAATGGAGCATAATTTTTGTCTGAAAATAATACTTGGGATTTCAAATAAAACTCAAGCTGCCCGCTCGTTCGATTTCGAAATCAAGGGTATGATTTCAGACCCTATACTACAAATGCAAAATTTAACCATGGTCATTAGCTGATAACACGTCGTATAATCCCAAACAGTGTAGGAAGTTGAAATTTGGTGCAGAAACTTCAAATTGAATTGATTGACAGGTAATTCGCGAAAACAAAACAAAACAAAACAAAATAGCGGACAGATGAGGAGAGAGTAACAACGTTTTAATTCAGAGTTTGAGGGAGCATTCTAAAAACAGAAACACCTAACAAAGGAAAAACAACTGGCTATAATATGGCTTCCAAAAACTGATTTGAAAGTATGAACCGGAGGCTCTGAATAAAAATTCTCTCGGAGTTTTACGCAACAGTTCGTACGAAAGACGCAGAAGATCACGAGTGTGACAGTCTTCGTGTAATGTTACTGCCGTTGACCGATACCTAACAGAGAAAGAATGCAAACGCTCAATTATTCTCGAGAGAGGTTTCAAAAGTTTGAAGCAAATTATCGACGAAAAAGCTCGAATATTCTGGCCACAAGGCAAAGGCAAGCGGCCTAACTGGCGGGCTATGACTCGAAATAAAGACAACCAAAAAGGAAAACAGAGTCATATCTTAGCTTGTATATGTAATAACTGGTAATCAGATTATTTTTATCTTGCAATTTCGGATAAATCAGCACTCATAAATTTATCAAAGACTAGAAATTGCCTTTTAAAAATTTACTCGTGCTGATTTATCCCAAATTCCACTCGAAATTATCTTATTACCTATTCAAATTGCACTCGGATCAGTGTAATTACCATATTTTATCCCATGCGCTTTTTGTTGCAGATCTGGAATTTGAGTACGACGCGTTCATTATATTCAGTTCCGAGGACTCACAGTGGGTGATAAACACCCTAATTCCAACCTTGGAGGAAAACCATGGAATGAAGTGTTGTGTGCACTACCGAGATATTACCCCCGGAGTAACTTTTAGGAAAAATATGGTGGATAGCGTTTACAAGTGCAAGAAAACCATCGCCGTTGTGTCCACTCACTTTTTCAACAGTAAGTATTGTGGGTAAGAACTGGATTACGCCCTTCATCGACTTATGGAAAAGAGAGATGATAGTTTAGTTGTCATCAAGATCGATGATGTTGACAGAAGGAAGCTTCCTAAGGAACTTCAAAAACGAAGTTACATTGACTACGCAAAGTCAGTTGAAAAGGAAAGCTGGGAAAAGAAGCTGGTTGATTGTTTAAGTTACAAATAGGTTTAATATAATATTAAGTTTAACTGCAATAACTTTGCAAAAGTGCACATAAACGCTTTTCATTGTTTTCGTATCATGCCTTATCTAATCAAAAGGGGGGGGGGAAGTCAGAAAGTCAGAAATTCAGAAATTTGTCGTGACTTCACATTAGTAGAAGTTAGGGATACCAAGTATTGAGAGAAATCAAAGTAATCGCGGGTTGAAATGTCGTGTCACGTTCACGCTCTTGCTCTGAATCACTGTAAGCCTTCTATTCTCTAACTGTCTGCCTTCAACAGAATAACGATAACACGCTTCACGATTAAAATACCTTCCAGCCTCACTTTGTGTTGCAGTAGCAATAATAAATTTTTATTCTTGTCATTCAGATTTTTTTTCTCTGTTTTATACGAAAACACGTTTTACACGTCTTTGTTTTATACGAAAACACCTCAATATTCTAATCTCTTGATATGAGTGCGTGACTACCGTAGCACGACCTTGGCCATCGCGAGAAATTTGCGCGAGCATCCATCGACCTTGCTTTTCCTTTCAAGGGCCACGTTCAAACAGCATTGCGGGGGTAGTGGCCTTAGAGAGTATTTTTTGTATCACAGAAAAGGAAAATCTTACCGTGTTTGTAGCACTATTCGACTAAATCTTTGAAATCTTGATCGAGAACCGGCTTTTTATACACTCATCTTATGTCTATCGTCCATTTACTAAGTATTTTTGACGTTTCATTCACTCCCAGAGAAATCAAATTTAAAGATAAATTTCTCCAAAATTTCATCTTGGTATCGTCTATTCTTTAAACATGACGAATTTATTCCTAGAAGGCGAAGCGCTTCTCTTTTTACGGATTCCTTCTTTGCACTTGCAAATGATACGAATAAAAATTCAGGTATTCGAAGGTCCTTGTCTCTTTATTATACCTTTTGGCCGGTCAAGGGTCGATTCCTGTTAAACCTCTCGCTTTCGTACACTTTTGTGTCCAAGAATATAATTTCTGAGTCTGATATTTCAGCCGTGAATAGTGATTGTATCGTGGTACAACGAACAACAACTCAGTTTTTTAATTTTTTCGTTCACTCTAAATAAACAGTTTTGCTGCTTTTCTCATGGTTTGCACTTTTAATACATGGTAGAGAAAGCTGTTAATTTAGTTTTGTTCACCCTAAAAGAACAGCTCAGCTTTGTTGCTTATCGTATGGTTTGCATTTACGACATATCATAGTAGGGGAAGAGACTTTACAACTCATTCCTGCACATTTGCATAGCATTTTGCGAATTTCTTTACCATTGGCATTCTTAAAATCTTCTACAATTTCTTCATATCCGCATCTCAGGGCTCGTTTCTCGATCATTCCAAAATGATCATGTTTTGCGTCGTCTTGTTTTGAAAAGACTTCAAGGTAATTATCCTCCACAGGCACTCGTTTTTCTTTTTCATCCCATTTGACCTTTTTTCTGTCATGTTTTGATCCACGTAGTGTGATGCCGTGCAAGGATGAGAACGTCAGGAAGAAGACGAGGAGCACTTTCGAAACACGAATCTGCGATACGCAAAAAAATATAGTGGTCAAATTGGAAACATACCACAAAACAATTCCAAGAGATTCTTAGTTACACACCCAGACCAAGCACGAAAACAGTTAGCGATGAATGATAATAATAATGATCAGCAATTTAGATTTCGTCATACCATGTTCTACACAGTGTAATTTAATAGTTCCAAGGGTTCCACTCAACTGCGCTCTAAACTACAGTTGTGCGTGGCTGCATGTTGGATTTAATCTATTTAAAAATCGAATACCGCGTCCTAATCAACTCATCAAATGTTACGAGTGAGTTTCGAAGGTCAATTTACTACACTAAATAGGAACATATCATATTATCATTTGAGTAGTTCTACAGCCACGATACCAACCAGATGAGAATGAACGCTGACTTGCTAAGGGTTTGCTTCTATTTCGCCTGTTACCTACTATGGTTTATTTATCTACGTGTAAATTAGTTTTCAGTCAATTGATAATTGACTTTTTCATTATATGAATTTTACTTCAGGTCAGGCGGTAAATAGCTTCCTTCCGTTGTACGTTTAATGCTAACAAGATTATATAGTAGCTATTATATATTATTGTTAACACGCAACCAATTCAATAAAGTCGGGAGGGTGTTAATACTAAATGAAGGGCATACCTGTATACAAATATCGGGCTGCCATTCGTAAGGACCATTAATTAATTTTGTCATTGATTCAATTTTACAAGGCTTGAGTACAAAATGAAATAACCAACATTAATGTGCGAAGTTAGTCTACGAAGAAGCTTTAGGAAACTGTTTTTAATATTTTGAATTTTTTAATTTGTACTTTATCACTTATGCTTATAAAGGACGCAACAAGGGATGGAAAAGAAAAATTAAAAGTCATATTCTATATCTTTATATTATGTGACTTACAGGCTATAGCTTGCACACACTCGAAAAAATTGTCAGAAAATGAGCGGCTAGGCTGATATTTGGTTTTAGCATCATTAGCAGGCAACAGTAGAAAAATATAATGAGTTCTTGACGTGTTTCAGCATCCACGGCATATACAAGTATGCTGAGCACAGTAGAATGAGAAAAATCTTATTTATCTCGTTACTTTTTCTTGATCAATTCTGAGTGAATTGGAATCAACGTCTCTGTTGGGAGTTTAATCGTTAAAAAATTTTATCTTTCGTTGGCTGATTCAATTTTTGACTCCACCCCTTGATCAAATCAAATTCTTTGATTTTTCTCTGTTTGAGGTAATTTACAACGTAATTGGCAAATTGCAATTAAATTTCAGGAAAAGTTCAAAGTTTCACCATTACCACAATAAATTTATCAAATATCAAATTCAAGGAAGGCTAAATAGGATGTTTCCTATCTCACCAGAATAGTAGACCAAACGATAAATTATTATTAAAACATGATGAATAAATAAAGAATAGGAGATGCTTACACAGAAGTGCAAGTTATTTATTCATCATACTTATAGCTATGAAATAACTTATGAAAGTGGTTGTCCTTTCGACATCCATACCAAAACTTTGGACTCCTTTTGCTTTTTATATTAGTCTTTGGGTCAATCATGTCTTATACATGTACGTGCAGATATCGATGAATGCTGATGATCAATGATATTCAGTACAATCAGAATTAAAGCGAGGAAATTTGTCTTTTGAATATTGATAAGTCAAAGTTTTCCGTTAACACCACGATTTCGTTAGGTATAGATCATCGATTTCCATCGATTGGGTATTCATTATATTTCGCACTTCCTCGCATTCGACACCTTTACAATTTGACAAGAGCGTCCACCAAATGTCGAACTCTCATTTTAACTATCACTAAAAAACAAAAAAGAAATTACAATAGAACTAAATAAACAGGACTATTATTGCACGTGGAGGCCAGAATATAGGAACTTTCTCTGTTCAACAAGTGGTAAATAATGTAGCTAAATGTGAAATACTTAAAAGATAATAAGTCAGAGATTAACTGCCAATAAAAAGAGAATTCTACAGCATAAACCACTGGTGCAAAAAAAAAAAAAAAAAAAAAAAAAAAAAAAAGAAAGGGAGAGAGAGGGAGAGAGAGGGAAAGAGAGAGGGAGCGGAACGTACCTCAGGAAAATGACTCATTTCGCTTTTGATTCAACTTCCTCCAGTTCGAGTCGGATGATGTGCTCAGATTGGCTATAGACAACCTTAGCTAGCCCAGCACGTACGTGCAGTATAAGTACTGATCCGAAGTCTGAAGTTTTCCGAGAATAGCATGCAGCGTTATCTCTGTCTTTTATGTTTACCTCCAAAATTGGGCTGAAAGTAAAAAAAAATGACCGATACAAAAATTATCCTGTAAGACTGATTTAAATCAAATTAAAATTGGCTAATTTGGCGGGGGAAACTCCGCTTTCCTAAATAATACTTAACACCTTCGTCCTTGTCTTTCACTGATCAATTCGATTCACATGTGGCCCATTGCGTTTACAGTGCTTA